ATAGCAGCAGGAAATTACACATGTTCTGAAGTTACTGTACCATAAATGTGGTTTAATGTCAAAGACTTCACATGTTACAAATTGTTGGATAGACAGTTCAGTAGCTAAGCAAAAGAACACAAAGAAATGCTCATTAAAAAGATGCGTTAGAAATAAAATCCACCAAATTAAAAAGTTGACAATTTAAAAGCCTGGTAAAGTGAAACAGGAGTCTGCTAGAAAATAAAGAGAAAAATTGATGCCCCTGTACATTTTTTTCTTATAATACAACAGAAAGTTTTCTCCTTTGCATCTATTTCTTCGTTCATAAAACTCACAAACTAATAAGATTTCTGATATCAAAAATCAGTACTGTATCCTCTGCTTACCCCTCTGCTTACCAAATGCCTTTCCCATTATCACCTTTAAGCCAGGAAAAATGCCTGACCATGGAACACATTAAGGAGCACTTGCTCTGAACATCTGTAAATTTGCTCATCCATTTGTACTTTATAGTACTGCTCATTTTCTACTATTGCTGGAAGGGCAAATTTAATAATACACAGATCAGCCCAAGCAGCAAGAATACTTGTGCAGAGAAAGAAAATTTTTAGTCTGGTTAACAATTTACGTTTTAACTACAAAGCTTTCTATGTTGCATCACAAGCATTTAAAACTCTTGAAATATTCACCAAATCAGAAGTGTTTTGAGTACCTACCTAACAACTTTGGAAATCTTTCTCTGAAGAATCACTTAAGCTATTGAGAAATGGAGTACTTCCTATTTTAGCAAATGAAAATAAGTTATGGTGCAAAGAAGGATAATGAAGAATTAGCATATTTACCTGCCCCCAATTTTTGAAATATATCAGGTTGAAAATAAACAAAGAGAGACAAACTGTTCTATTAATGAAGAGATTTGGACAATTCAAATAATCAGTGATGTAGTACAAATAGGAAAAACTATTTGCATGCATCCTGTCTATTGGTAGTATGTACTGAAGCCTCAGCTATGTTGAAGAATTCTGGGCATTGAAGTCCACAAATCTAAAAAGTTGCTAAGGGTGAGAAACACTGGTATATACAGTCCACCTTCCTTTAAGTTTCAAGGCAATTATTATATTGTTATTCCCCCACATTGCAAAGTTTTACATAATTTCCATCACTAGCTCTTGGACCATGACCATGTAAAATAGAGGTGTCCCCCTTTCTAAGCCATAAAGTATGAAAGTCTCAGAGTTCAATTTCTGGTAGAGGGTTTGAACCTTCCTGAATAACACTTGGACATTCATGTCTGAAGAGCCCCTATAAAAAACAAAAATTGGTCACAAAGTACTTCCTGGTAGTTAATGTAATTGAAATAAACCTTATAAGAGTCTCACCCTTATCTTCCAGATTTCCTTTTGCCCCATTCTTTGACACCATCTATAAATGAACATAACATCCTCATTGACTGCTGTTCCCAGTGCATTGTAAACTCATTCTATCTTTGCTGTGTTGTCACTGACAGTTCACAACTACTTCCAGAACCTCACTGAATATGTGCAAAGGTAAGTAAGTATACAATGAGCAGTCAGTCTTTCTAATGAAAAAAAGAAAGCACCAAGACAGATATCCACAATTGTATTTTCCACCAAAGCAAGAGCATAGAAGGAAGAAAAAAAGCTGGGTTTCCCAAAGCTATAGAGTAGTTGGTGGTTTTAAGTTTTTGTTGCTTTCAAAGTACCATACCATCCATCTAGTGCTGCATGATTGATAGGAGCATGTTCTTAAGCAGACACAAGTCTAATTTTTTTTGTGGTAGACCTCAATGATTGGCAATTAAAGTTAGTGGAAGGCTGCATATCAGATGCAGAATAAAAATACAATTTACAGATCTGGATAAGACTGAAAACTTGCACAGTGCAATGCTTATTCCATGTAAGTAAGAGGAAATACAGTACAGGTAGTCCTAAATTTACAACAATTCCTTTAGTGACCATAAAGTTACAAGGGCACTGAAAAAAATAACTAATGACAATTTTTCAGTTACACCTGTTAGAGCATCCCCAAGATCACGTGATCAAAATTCAGATGCTTAGCAACTCGTTCTATATATGTTGGTTACAGGATCCCAGAGTCATGTGATCTGCTTTTGCAACCTTCTGACAAGCAAAGTCAATGGGGAAGCCAGATTCACTTAACAACCATGTGAACAAGTTAACAACTGCAATGATTCACTTAACAACTGTAGCAAGAAAATGGGGCAAAACTCACTTAACACTGTCTCACTTAGCTACATAAATTTTTGACTCAATTGTGGTCATAAGTTGAGGACTATCTGTATAAGAAATAGGAGAGCAGGAAAAGTTTGAGATTTGCTAGATTTATATTTTGCCTTTCAAGAAGTCAAGGCACAATGAAGGAATCTCCATTTTATCCTATCAATTTGGTGGGATAAATTGGACTGAAAACAAGTGGTTGTCTAAAGTAACCAGTGAATTTCCATAACTGAAATTAGTTATAGTTCCCCAAAGTGGACAATATAGACTCCCCCAACAATTGATGGGACTATAGAGCCATGTGATGCAGTGGTTATATTGAAGAAGAGAAGAGAAGAGAAGAGAAGAGAAGAGAAGAGAAGAGAAGAGAAGAGAAGAGAAGAGAAGAGAAGAGAA